TTCTGTACCTTTGAGTCATTGGCAACGAGCAGCTAGATTATTAAGTGCTATCTTTTTCGTGTGGGTGGCTTGGCTGGGACGATGGTAGCTTTCCCTAAGCACAGCTCTGCGTCACTATCAGTACCATTTCTATTGCTTACATTGAATACCTCGCCTTTCGAATAGATTTTGATAGTCGTTATACAGTTACAAATCGCAGACACACTAACCAGAAATGCAGAAATGCAGGAAGCGTGACTCCCACCGCCAGGAGTGCAAAAGCCTTCACTGCCCGAGGTTTATTGAATACCTGTTTAGCGGGCTGACTAGCTAGCCAGCTCTCAAATTGTTGGTGTGCGTCGAGTAGAGCGTGTAAATTATAAAAAGGTCAACGCGCTACGAGGAGACGGGCGAATCGAGGCGCCTCGCACTGCGGATATGCATGCTCCGTAGTGCTTGTCGTGGTCATTGCCTCGCGTCTTCGTCTACTGTTTATTGTTAGCGCGTTTGTTGTTTAACTACTGTTCGCTCATTTTTGCTGCGTGATCTGCAGCTTGGCGCTCTGGTCCTTGACGAGAAAGGCGCATATAAGACTGAGGAGAGTGCAGAGGAAAGTGAAGGAGCTGGCGATGATGCCTATGATGCCTGAATATCCAATTTGCCCAAATAGCGCCATCACGAAGTTCCAAACAAAGAAGTGTGCATACGTTTTGCACATCCAGTCGAAGTTGAACTCCCCAAAGTGACAGAAAATAGATATCATTCCCATGACAAACGGCGTCCATATGTCGACAAACACATCAGGCACGAACGAGAACATTGCAAAGCGCCATGTGTAACGGTTGTAATCCTTCGTGAAGCTTTCATCGTATACAACAACACGCGGTGACACCGCAGGCATCAAGAAGAAGAATACGACAAGGGATAGAACGCCACAAGCCAAACCCAACCAACTGGTGAAGCGCGCCAATTGCCGCTTCGCGTCCGCCATTTTATCGTCCTTGTAGCAACTTCAGATGCTGATTACCTGAGGAGAAAAGGCAGATAAAGCGCAGGCANCATTTTATCGTCCTTGTAGCAACTTCAGATGCTGATTACCTGAGGAGAAAAGGCAGATAAAGCGCAGGCATGTAGATACACTCGTGTACGCTTGCGTAGCGTTCGTGCATTTGCCCGCCGTAGCGGTTCAACTTCTTGCAGCACACACACAGGGGGAAAAGAGGGAACAATTTACACTACCGCCAACCTTGATAATCAGGTCAAATTTTACTCTAAAAATGAAAAACAAACCGACGATTTCGAAAAGGGGATTCAGAAGCCGATCATTGGTTCTCGATAGAACGGGAACACTCAATGAGACTTCGCAGCACTGCAATGATGCCGCTACCCGTTGCGCAACGAGTGGAGATAACTGCAAAACCTGAAAAAGTATAATGAAAATAAATCTTACTTCTTTTAAGCTTTTGGAGCTTGCTTATGGCTTCGATTGGCCGTTGGCCCGTCGGCGGATCTGACAGTGAATATGCCGCGAACGAGGTGGTGCAGTGAGCCTCCGAGGAATTACAAGGGAAATTGAGGCTCCAAATAAACAAACAAGAGTAATTTGACAAGAATTTACACCATGAGAGAGTTGAGAATCTCCACGCGTCTCCGTTGGACGGAGGAACTCTGCCGCCCCGAACCATTGGTGTGTACCGCAGTAGCTGCATGGCTGCAACCAGCGGTGCAGCAATTGAACAAAGCTGTAACACTTGTTCCTTTTAGACAACATGTCTGTCTTAAAATACAATAAATATTTATGCTGCGAACGGCCCATCAGTTGCTTCATTTCTGCTTGGTGAGCCAGTCTGTTCAGTTTCCCGCGTTCCTGGTGGCGCCTGCGCCGGCATGTCCACTCTCGAGATCTTCATAGTTGTGGTAGCGGCACAGCAACAACAATTTTTAGGAACTGAAAATAGCTGGAAACTTGAAGAATTCCGTTAGGTCGATACCTGTGGCTGCATACTGGGCACGGAGACGTCACAGCAGAACAGGTAGCTGCTGTCATGCTGTTTGACGATCAAAGAAATCGTCAAATGCATGGAACAAACTACCGTACAGCCTACTGAAACTCATGCTGTACGTTGATTGCAAACTAAAGGTATTCTCAAATAGGAAGCAAGACAATATTTGTGTACAGTGGAGGGCTTGAGCTGGTTCAGTTTTTTTTTGTGTAGTTGACGGAGTAAATACAGCGCTTGCTCTCTGGCCTTAATCAATGACAGAAACAAGCTGCAATGTTCGTGAGGACTTAAGGCAATACCTTCCCAGAAGCAGCTAACCTCCTTCCCCTTTCCTCAGGCCTCCTTGTCGTTNGAGGACTTAAGGCAATACCTTCCCAGAAGCAGCTAACCTCCTTCCCCTTTCCTCAGGCCTCCTTGTCGTTGAGCTCAGGGCCTGGGTGTCGCGACGAGCAGGCAGCCTGAAATGGGGTTGCGGCGCACCTTGCTGCGGCTGCTAATACAAGCCAGCCTCACGCGTGCGCACAAAGTGGCTTCAGCTAAGCTTCATTTACTGCATGTTTCACCTCTGAATACATTATAGAACGTTTGCATCAGCTTACACGCCACCTAACAAGGCCAAGTGAAGTCTCCTGTGCTCACTGCACGCAGAGCATGCTGCATCTACCCCTCCACCGGCAGAAAGCGCACGTTCTCGAGTGACAATATCCATATAGGATGTGGTAGGTTTGTGCCATCTCTCTTGCTGCTCGTGCTGCCGGTCCCGTTGCGGATGCTGCTCGCCGTGCAGTAAAATGTACCCCCCCCAGCGGCATATGCTGCTGCTGCTGTGCTGCAAAAAGACCATCGTGTTCCTCTGTTGCTGCGTGTGTTTTGCTGNCGGCATATGCTGCTGCTGCTGTGCTGCAAAAAGACCATCGTGTTCCTCTGTTGCTGCGTGTGTTTTGCTGTTGCTTGAGCGGTTGTTCCTGTTGCTGCCGCTGCTGCTGCTGCTGCTGCTCGTTGGCCCTTCGGGTACATGCCGGCTGTTGCTAGTAGACACCAACATACTGAGTTAGTGAACGGGACGAGAAGGCCCAATCGGCAGCCTGTCGGGAGACTCCCCTAGGTGCTGTTGCTGTGTCGGGCGCAACCAGCCCTGCTGCGGCAGAAGCGGGAGCGGCAGTCACCACGTCGCTTTCCCGTCTTCTACGCTGTTGAAGGCGGATTAATGGAAAAGTACAACATCAGTGAAAACACAGTCTACTGCCACCGTGCTCGAACAGGGATTAAAATGAGCCTATTTGCTAGGCCCATCCACAAGGAGATAGATGCTGTCAGGGCCTCTGACGGGTGGTAAGCCCGAGTGAGATGTCCGTCCAGGTCCTTTCAAGAATAGGCAGGCTTTGCAGCGATCTGGATTTGATGGTGTTCAGCAGATTTTGCTGCTGACAGTCCGGAGAAGAGAGAACGTATTCCTCGACTGAGGGGCGTATCGTATGTAGTGGACGGGCACTACAATGGATCGCCTCTGTGGCCTCTAGACGCCTAGTGTCATGAAAAGGAATAAATACTATAGAATATCACAGGAATTGGGACACTTTTAGATATAAAAGGTGCATAATAGGATCAGAGTTCTCCCCAGCCGGCACCGGCTTTGGGGCTGGGTGTGAGGCAGGTGTTGTGACTAAGCCACTGACTATCAGCGAGGGTCAGAGACAGTTCTATTATTCTGTAATTTCCTTTGGGAACAGATAATGTGAACTCCAATGTGTTTTGGTTGTTGATTGCGTTAGATGCAGAGTGTGCATCTAGCCAGAATAGCTTAGGATTGTTAGGATTGGTACGTAGTAACAGCAAAGGCCAGCTGTTCACTACACAGGAGGCCTGAGGACAGGAGAAGGAGGCAAGCTGCTCTGGGGAAACTCTTGCTTAAAGTCTCTACCTACATTGCAGCTCGCTTCTGTCCTTGACGACGGACAGAGAGCAAGCATTATATGCAGGACCTGCGTGAAATTGGTACAACACTTCAGGCACTTGTTACACTGGAGGAAAACTGACGAGGTGACTAGGCATTGTAAACTGACGCAANACAACACTTCAGGCACTTGTTACACTGGAGGAAAACTGACGAGGTGACTAGGCATTGTAAACTGACGCAATTTCATTAAACAATATCGGCATTATTGCTGGGAAGCGAACACTCTTAACAGGAGTGTAAGCTATGCTGATGTTAACTGATCTTGTAACGACTCCTTGGTGCCCTCCGAAGACCAACGCGAAAGCAGCTGGTTTCTCCCCCGTATCTCCAGGCGCCCTGAGCAGTGCTGGTCGGGGCCTGGGGTGGAGAGGAGGCAGCCTGAGAGGAGTTGCAGCGCGTTGTGCTCACCCATAACAGCCAGCCTGTAGTGCACAGGCACTACAATGGATCCCTTGTGTGGCCTCTAAACGCCTAGTATCATGAAAAGGGATAAATACTATAGAATATCGCAGGAATTAGGACACATTTAGATATAAAAGATGCATAATAGGATCAGAGTGCTCACCAGCCGGCACCGGCACCGGCTTGGGGCTAGGTGCGAGGCTGATGCTGTGACTCTGGCACTGACCCTCAGCGAGGGTCAGAGGCAGTTATATTATTCTGGGTCTTCTTCCTGGATAGATAATAAGAAGTCAAATTTTTTCACTTAAGGNAGAGGCAGTTATATTATTCTGGGTCTTCTTCCTGGATAGATAATAAGAAGTCAAATTTTTTCACTTAAGGTGTTTAATAGTGGACTTAGCAAGGATCATGGATTTTGGTAGCTAGATGCAGAGGGTGCACCTAGTCAGAATAGTTTAGGGTTCATACGTAGTAGCAGCGGAGGCCAACTGTTCACTGCACAGCCTCACGCGTGGGCAGAAGAAAGCTTGGACGAAGCTTCCCTTGCTGCATGCTTTACCTCTGAATACACTCAATGAAGGTTTGCAATTGCTTACATCCAACCTACAAAGGCCAAGTGAAGGCTCCATTGCTAACTGCAGGCAAACGATGCTACACTTGTACCCTTTCACGGCCTCGCTACTTCACTCGTATAAGCGGTGCTTATCCTACTACACACGTATCAAACGGTTAGTTGACCCTCGATCCTTGGGTGCTTATGCTGGTTGTTAGTTACCTAATATGTGTCTGGCCTAGTCGGCACTGAAATTTTAGCGCCAGGCACTACAATACTTCTATCGGGAGTGCACTTTCCGGGCCGCGATTTCTCTGATAGCTATGATTCTATACCTATGAGCCTGTCTTTCCGTCATCGGTTTGTAGAATTATCATTATGTTTAGTGAAATTATCAGGTGCGTTGATCCGTTCCAGATATTTCAGTGTTTCTGACCTACCCTGCTGAACCCCAGGCCTTTGCAGCTGCAGCCCCGAGTACTAACAGCTGCTCAGCATTGAGCTACACAACCGGGCGACTCTCTCCGGCTCAACTCATCTATAATTTACTTTTATTGATGACAAAGAAATCGAATGAGTGATTAATTTTCATTGAAAATGTATTACTTCTTGCCAGTTACGCTCGCTTTCCGGGCGCTTGTCGTGGCAGCGGCCAACGATCTACAAGACATGGACGCTTGGTCTTCTAGCTATGAAGCGCTTCGGCGGCACGATGAGACTAATCTGCATACTCAGAGCTTCCTTTTAGAAGGAGGCGCAAGGAAACGCACTAGGGCGTCCCTTGCGATATTGCCGCTGGCTGTCGCAACTGCTGCCTTGGTATACTTGCTCATCCACTGCTTCAGGACTTTGGCATCCAATAATGCTTCA